AGAATAATTAAATGTATCATTTTGATGGAGGATTGTAATCCATAAAGGATTATGTGTTTATGAAACACATGTGAATGAAATTAAATTATATTCCAGTTATAAATGTGCTTCTGATTACAGATAGCCTGGGATTACAAAGATTTGTATTTTAAAGAAAACCAGTTCGAAGGGAGCATAATTTGCTTTTTGGGTTAAAATAATTTCTTAATATGAAATTCGAAGAGTATGACAATTAGATTAGACTGTGCAGAAATTGAAATCTACACGCTAATACACACTATACTCATAGTCACCAATGCTGATGTTGTTATCATTAATCATTTGAGAATAAAGTATAACAATAATAATAATCTGAACGGTTTGATGTGATATGAGCCAACCAATCTTTAGTTTAATCACCATTGGTAGCGAGATTTATGGTAATGATTTTTCCTCAGTTGGTCAGAACAAATGTGGCAGACTTGTTACTTACTTGTTCGGCAATATCATAAAACCTGGTAATTTTCAGGAATCGCTTTAATAAAATTAATAACCTTACTCACGTGTCCGATGTTGCTACTTGCTAGCAGTTTTATACTTTTTTTTTTTTATTGCAATTTAAAGAATAACAACAGTTATGAAGTAACATGGGGCTAACGGACAAGTTTTATAATGTTGTAAATTATTACGGTACACAGGCTACAAAACAAATGTTCATCCAAACAGCAGGAGGCACTGTCTGAAAAAACGATAGGTCTGAGCGTGCAGGTCTGAGTGTGCAGTTGGGCCTCCGGGCCTGCAGCTTCATGTTGGATAATTCCGCACACTGCTGCAATTCCAGGTTTTCAAACAGAGATGGCGACAAAGAGGCAAAACTTACAGACTGCAGCTTTTAAATAAATTGTTGCTCTAGCATTGTAAACACTTTCCTGAAAATGTTTTGAAATTACGTCGTTTAGAATGACTTATGAAACACTGTATCTTTGAAAATAGATGTACCAACAGCAGTTTGAGCACAATTCTTTAAAATGCAAACCAAGAATTTACACATCTTTAATTTGTAAATAGTTTTGTGTACACCAAACTTGTGCATTTTGCAGATGAAACAAATCGAAGGAGAAAGGATGCTGTCTCTGATATACTTTGGCATATACAACATCTGAACCTTGTAATAGCAACAAACTATTTTATAACCACATATCCAGTATTAACATCAGTTTGACGTCACCTACATTGGATTTAAAACTGCTCTGGATCCTCACTTTAAAGGGCATAATGAGGTTGGTTTACAAAGATTTATGAAACGAGGTCTTCTAGTGGCTCAAACATACGCAGTTCTCCTTTCATGAGTGTGCATTTATATTGCTAATTAACAAGAGAACTGGTATTAAAAAATATACACAGAGAAGATGCCATTCTAAGATGGAAGGATCTTCACACTCCATGTGAAACGAGCTGATAACAGACTTCAACATATATACTGATTGGTCCAATCTAAAACAGATAAAAAGAGTATCTGTATGTAATAATAAAAAAGGAAATGTAAAGTTTAGCTTTCAAATCCAACTTGAGAAACCTGAATATCACAAATTAGTGTCCGTGTCACCAATTCTGATTCTACAGCCACTGAATAAGTAGTAACGCAAGTGCTATCATGTGCTAATCACTGACTGCACAGTGGTTAAACAAAATCATAAAATGTATACAGAAAATGTCAACTAACAGTACTCCCAATTCTACAGTAACTCACTTCTTCGCATAATGTGTTTTCAGAAGAAAACTAAAGATTATACTACACATGACTGCTGAATTGGTTTGAAAGCATGACACTTCACTGGAAAACGTGTTGAAAAATTGCATCAATTCAGTCAACAGTACTTGCAGTCTGTAATACCAGCAGCTAACTCCCAATCAAGTCTCAAATGGGCTCATTATTAATAAATGAACATATGGGCAGATCAGAAATAGAACAAATTATCTAAGCCACAGATATTGTTGAATGAAACTGATGATTCCATGGGATAAGTATGGAGAATCTGAGTTCAAACTAGAGCTTGTTCATAATTTGTCTTGTAAAACCGACTGTTGTCAGTCTGACACTCCACTTTTGGTGCGTTTGCCATGTAATGAAACACCCGAGGACACAGCATGTCCGTTGCAAGTTGCATCTGATGACTCCTGCCCCTCCTCTGGTTCAGGAAGTGACTCCTCCATCTCCTTCATATGGGCCATGGCCCGGTCAATGGTTGCTGTGGTGACTATGTTGAAGTCATGCAGATTGACGAGGTGAAGCATAAAGTTCCGACACAGATTTCTGCGAATGATGTATGGCCCGTAGTTCTCCACAAACAGCATGCTCGCCTGACTCATCTGATTATCAGCAATGAATCTGGAGAAAGGACAGTTAGCAAGATAAGGACAGCACCAATATTCCACCAATGTTGGAAGTTTTTGTAAGTCTACAGCCTTGGCCAAAAGTTTTGAGAATGACACAAATATAAATTTTCACAAAGTCTGCTGCTTCAGTGTTTTTAGACCTTTTTGTCATGTTACTATGGTATACTGAAGTATAATTACAAGCTTTTCATAAGTGTCAAAGGCTTTTATTGACAATTACATTAAGTTTATGCAAAGACTCAATATTTTCAGTGTTGACTTCTTTTTCAAGACCTCTGCAACTCGCCCTGGCATGCTGTCAATCAACTTCTGGGACACATGGCAGTCCATTCTTGCATAATCAATGCTTGGAGTTTGTCAGAATTTGTGGGTTTTTGTTTGTCCACCCGCCTCTTGAAGATTCACCACAAGTTCTCAATGGGATTAAGGTCTGGGGAGTTTCCTAGCCATGGACCCAAAATTTCGATGTTTTGTTCCCTGAGCCACTTAGTTATCACTTTTGCCTTATGGCAAGGTGCTCCAGCATGCTGGAAAAGCCATTGTTCCTTAGCAAACTGTTCTTGGATGGTTGGGAGAAGTTGCTCTCTGAGGGTGTTTTTGTACAATTCTTTATTCATGGCTGTGTTCTTATTTGCAGTGAGGGGCTACTGGAATTTCCTGGCCATGGACCCACAATTTTGATGTTTTGTTCCCCAAGCCACTTAGTTATCACATTTGCCTCATGGCAAGGTGCTCCATCATGCTGGAAAAGGCATTGTTCGTCACCAAACTGTTCTTGGATGGTTGGGAGAAGTTGCTCTCGGAGGATGTTTTTGTACCATTCTTTATTCATGGCTGTGTTCTTAGGCAAAATTGTGAGTGAGCCCACTCCCTTGGCTGAGAAGCAACCCCACACATGAATGGTCTCAGGATGCTTTACTGTTGGCATGACACAGGACTGATGGAAGCGCTCACCTTTTCTTCTCCGGACAAGCTTTATTCCGGATGCCCCAAACAATCAGAAAGGGGATTCATCC